GCGGGCACGGGCCCGTGATTTGCCCGAGAAAAATGGAGGTTATCAGTTCCCGTCCGGGCCGCCGCGCGCCGCCCCGCCCCCGCCGGCGCGGCCGCTCTGATATAAAACCGCAACACCTCCACGGCCGCGCATCGATCACGGGCTATCGCCGCGCTGACGGCCGAGAAATTAAAAAGCGGGAGAGGGGACCGCGGTGAGTAATGAGCCGTCGCCCGCGAGAAGAGCGCGCGGCCATCTTGCGGCGTATATTTCACTCTCTCCGCGCCGCGCCGCGCCGCGCCGCGCCGACGGAAGGAGGGAGCGACGGGGCTGATGACGCTGGGAGCGGATAAGGCGGAGGCGATAGCCCCCGGGCAAACGAAGTGGGGAGATGAGGATCATTCTATGGGGGAGAATACTTGCATTGCTGTCAGGGTACCTACAACAATGACGGAGTGGGGCTGAAAGAGTCAAAGGACCACAGGTGAAGGAAAATGAGAGCAAGGGCAAGTCATACTGGCAATAACGATACCGATCTGACGTTTCCCATGCGTTGGGGTAGTGAGTAAGGGGGAACGAGGAAAAAGCGAGAGGCCGTAACATGATGACGACACTCGCTGTTGGAGGCGTAATGATAGCAATGCACATATTCATAATGGCTCTGCCTATGACGACCGAATTTAAGGATGACCTCACAAAGGTCAAAAGACGACGGGATTGGCGACGAGAGCAGTGGATTTGCAAGGGACATGCTAAAGCGAAGCACGTTTTAGAAGAATGTTGGAGCCGTCGAGAGTCAGGAGTGGCCCGGAGCGAAGATCGGCAGACGGCGGGGTCGTTGGCGACGGGGGCGATGGATGTGGAGGGGGCGGCGGCGTACCCGTCTGCCCGTGCGCCCGCCCTGCTCTTCGGCGGGCTTGGCGGCCTATTAATACGGCGCACCGAGCGCCCATTGCTTGAGTTGTTAATGCGTGCGATTAGTTCCCCTCGTAAAGGCCGGCCGCCCCGCCCCGCCCCGCCCGCGTGCCTGCGGCCCCCGCTGCTCTCGAGCATGGCCCGCCGTGCGGTAGGTAGCGCGACGCCGAACGGTCGCGTCTCCCGGTCGCAGGCCTTTGTGGTCGCGTCGCGCGGCCATTTATCGTGCCTTCGGATAACGTAAGCCATCCGTCAGGGGAAGGTGTTATGCACAACTGACAGTTTTACGCGATTATCTACATGTTTGCCGTGTTAATCCAAAACCAAAGCGCACTCTTTATCTGTATTTCAGCGCGAAAACGTTGAGGCGAGGCTTCGGAGGCAAAAACGAAATTTTACGATACTTGGTTTCTTTTAACATCAAAATGTGTTCAACGCTTTACATTTTTTAATTCTCCTAGCGCACAGTTGCACATCCCCCCATTACGCTGGGGTGTTTTGATTGAAGAATTACAGTTGTTTTTTTTAAGAAAGGGTGGTATGCGTCAACAATGACAGAAAAAGTGTTGGAAAAGATTTCCCAACAGCACTGGGCCACTACTCAGTATATCAACACCAAAAATGAATTCGCTATTTTTACAAATTCTTGTTGATTTCTTAAATTTAAGCTCCGTCCCAAACTTACTATCTCCAAAATTTGAATTTTTCAACTAAGAGTGGTTTAATATATTAATATAAATAATGTTTAAGATTAGTTATCGGTAGCCATTTTATAGAAGTGAAACTAAATACCTCAGAATGAAAATAATGCATTTTTTTCATAACTTAACGTATATAATAAACTTCAAGATTTTAGTAACAAATTTTAGTAACTTAATCATTCTTAAAAATATGATACAGCAACAATAATTCTCTAAGTGGAGCAAAATTACATGGAAAAATAATGTAGACAGGCATTCCAATTTTTTTCTTTGAGATGGCATCAGAAAATGGCGTTTTCTCAACCTTGTTTATAAAAGGGTTTAATGTAATGGTATTTTAACTTTCTACTTATTTGATTGTTCAAGGTGTGTCGTTTCGGTTCAGTTTGGCAATTTGTGACAATGTGAGTAATCCTAAAACAAGCGAATTTATAATAGAGTTCGTTGAGCATTCATCATTTAGGTTACGTAATTGGGGGGAACTAGAATCAGCATTACAGTTTGTTGTGCAAGTCTAATTTTGAAAAATGTTTCTTCAGTGTTTGTGAAGCCATTGGCCGGTAGTTACACACCGTTCAGAGAAAGGGACAATATCACATAGTGTATTTGTTCTTGTGCAATCATTATTATAAATCATTGATTATTAAGCAAACACTTTTATTGACTATAATCTCGAATGCATAGTAATTGTTATGTGATCATAATGCCTACAAATAAATATCCATTCATCAGGAAGTCATTTCAAGTTATAAACACTCACAATAGCTCCGAACATCGTTATGTTAAATTGGCGTACTGTTTGAGTAATCATTATTTCATTGATGGAAGGTACACAAATTTGATCCGCTTGTCTGGCTAGTAAAGTGTATGATTATTAATTTGCTACAGACTATTAGAAATGACGAATTGATATTCAGGAGTTATTAAATCGACTGAATGTCGACACACAGCAGTGCTCTCCAGGTAATTGAAGTAGGGCCTGACAGTTGGTGATTAACTTTGCATAATGAAGTGAAAGGGTTTGATCCCAAAGTTCCTGAGAATATACTTCCTGGTTGCCGCAATATTTCAATTCAAATGAAATGGCTCTTGAACAGAATATCATTACTGCATCAAATTTTGGTCTTCATGAATATTTTGAGCCCATGCTGACGAGTCAGAAGTGCAATTGGTTAAAGCAGGAAAAGCGGCTTGCTGAACATTGCTCGTTTACAAACAAGGAACATTGTTGTAGTCTATGTGCTTTCGCTTACTAGAATAAATGAGAATGTTTTTGATTATCTATTTCTGCGCTGCGTATTATTTAGATATTGTTTTGAACTAGTTGTGGTGTTTTGGACACTCCCGAAGATACTTGTTCCCGCTATCAGAAGCTGATTGGACATTCGAAATTCTACTTGTATCGATTATTAGAAGCTGCTTTATTGACCTGAATGCTTAGTTTAATTCCGCGTTCTCATGTTTTCTTCTCTCGTTCAAAGTTCACAGATGCCTGGGATCTGTGAGATTGTAATCAACATCCTTTTGAAGTTGATACAAGCCCTAAAAGTGATGCCTTTCACTCTTGAGCATCAAATGTAGATAATATGTAATTACTCTCTTTGACAAATCCCACGGACAACGTTGAGTCTTTCAGTGTAATGGCATAGTGATTAACTCGTTTTTATCATAGCCCTCTAAAGATTAAAAAGTACATTTAGTTTTGTTTTCAAATGTTTGTTTTTTTCATTTTGGAAGATAATCGCTTTAATATATAAATGCTACACGTTTGGTTTTGTGCGGTCTGTCTTTCATTGTTGGTAACGCTTCAAAAATTTATCACGAGAGCGCGTAAATGACGGCCTGTGAATTACAGAGCGATGGCCCCCTGGCGAATTGGGCCCCTGTGGGAAGTTTTCCTCCGCGCGGAGCCGCCAGGCCCCGGTAACGACCTCCGCCCGCGCGAGACAGGCGCTCGAATTTTGGTTAATGCCCCTCTCTCCGTCCCGTGCAGACAAATGCGGCCATCGCGCGGCCCGTCAGACGAATGCCCCTGCCCACGGGCTGTCTCTGGGCTGGCGGTCCTTCCTCCACCACATCGCACTCGCCCTCGTTGTTCTTCTTTGGGAGTTGGCGCCAGCTCTCATTTTCAGTGATCACTTCAGGGTCTTCAGTTATCTTACCGTTTCTCTCTTTGCAAAGAGTTATTTTTTATCTTCGTTCTTGTTTACTACATTGCATTCACACGTTGTAGTTTTGATGGCATAGTTTTGGTAAATTAGCCATTCCTCATAAAAATACCTTTAACATATTTCTTTTGATTTACAAGTTGGAGGTAGATATCGGAAAGGAAAGTGGTGACTTGTATGACAATGAGAAAACGCTCGACACACACACACACACACACACACACACACACACACACACATACACACACATGCACAAATAGAATTTAATAACAGGGCAGAGAAGGGGATTGGAATCTAGTCGCAAATGTAAATGCAGTTTACTATTTTTATGGTTTATCCCCCAAGCATTATTTTTCCGTTTTGAATAAAATAATTGCTTTTGATATATCCTTTCGTTAACTGCTATGAAGAGGTTCTTCTCTTTTCACTCTCTTAGCGACATGCTTAGGAAGCATGTTCTTCCATGCGCATCCTGGCAGCACCTCTGGACCCAACTTGACATTTTCCTAGTTGAATCCCCCTTCATTTTCTTGACATCTCCCCCGTGACATCCCCCTTCATTTCCATTGTGAGAATGGTGAGATTTGTGAACTCCCCCTCCTCCTCCTCCTCCTCCTAGCAAGCTTTCTCCCCTCAAACTGCCCCGCCCCCTCTCGTGCGGTCAAGTGGGGTTGTCTCGCTGACCGCGCGCAGCGAGCGGGGTGGTCCCGGCTGCGCCCGCGCCTGAACTCGCTCTCTTGTTGCAGCTGTACGAGATCAACGACGACCCCAAACGGAAGGAGTTCCTCGACGACCTCTTCAGCTACATGCAGAAACGTGGTGAGTGCCAGGGTCAGGCGCATATCAATGCGGAACGAGCCACCGTGTTCGTTAGTGCGCCTCTGTTAATGGGCGCGAGCCTTTGTTCGCTCGTTCGCCCCGAGTTCAGAGTGCGACTGGTTTACATTGCGCCAGGGCGAGTGCAGAGGTTCGTGTTCAAAGCGCCGACTTACGCTAGACGGCGGGCATTAAGTTAGCACGGCGCAAAAATTGTTGTTCTTTCCAGAGTACTAGCTCAAGTATTTGCTTAATTATCACTCTTTCGCTTGAGTGTATGAAACTTTTCACAAAGACACATTAAAATGGAGACACGAGGTAGATAGGCAAAATAAATTAATTCGCGCCAGTTCAGTTCAACGAACTTTCGTACTTGTGATATGACACACACATACGCGCTGCCGTTATCATTCAATGTGAAAGTGAAGTGTTTTATGTTGCTTTCCAGATATTCAAATTTCTCATTCTTTTCATGAGTATAAATTCTTAGAATTAATGAATGTTTTCACTTCATGACAATATGATGGGAGTATTATCTTAACGAATACGTCGCTTGTCATTCTTTATCAAAGAATTTGAGAAAGCGTGAATTAACGTAGAAATTGGTAATTATCATGAAAATGTCAGTGATACGCTAATCAATATTGAATGAAAGACGATGAAAAGCATGGCGTAAATTCGTCTTTTCTTTTTCAAATTAAGTTTTTGTAATAAAGTTAAAATTATTTTAAAGACATTTTCATCCAAGAAATGCGAATTCATCATAATCGCTTCAAATGCAAATTATTTAACCGAATTTAAAAATAAAATATTCGACGTTTTTTAATGAAAAATAGGATAATGTTATGTGTTCATTGAATCGCATCAAAAGGCATTTCGAAATTTCTATTTTCGAACCTAATTAACGAAAGAGTCTAATATTAGTAGAGGATATAAACGAAATAGTTTCGTCGAATGAGGTTGAAAAACGTTCGTGAATTTCAATGTTGTCCACCAAGCCATGTTCAAGTGTGATTTGGTGTAAAAAGAGAACGCGATGGGATGCAGACTTGTAAAAATCATCCACGTCGTTCAAAGAGAGACGCTTATAGGTGTGAGTACATTGTCTGAACAAGACATAAACCCACACGGCGCTAAAACATGCACATTGGATTTTAATTGTTGAAACAGTGTAGTACACATCAGAGTTACCCATACGGAGCGCGGATAATGCGTTTCTCAGGCTTCTCTTGCATGCTCCGCCCACGCGCGCAGCGGGCGCCTGGGAGCCAGTCGGCGTCTCGCTTCCCCCGGCCGTCCACACCTGCGTGGCGCGCGCGCGCTCGCTCGCTGGCGCACGCGGGCGCGGCCTAATCGCAGGGCGGCGCGGCGGCGCTCCCCGGAACAAACGGGCGGCGGCGGGACAACGCCGGCGACACCGCGCTCCCACGCGCGGGCTCGAGGTTGTCCGCGTTGCCGCAGACGGCGCGCCGCCGCCGAAAAGGCTCGACCGCAGCGCGACGACGTCAGTACTGAATGATTTCGCCGAAACGCCCGCTTAATAGGGATTAATGACAGCGTTGCTTTCAACAAACAACCTTTTTTGGGATTTTTGAAAATGTCTACCTGCTGGCGCAAACTATACATGTTCGGGTTGTGTGGGTTCACTAGAATCTTATTTGTAATTGGTCGCTTAATAGGTTAATTGCCGGCGTTTCTTTAAATACGCAAGCCTTTGTTTTGCGATATATGAAAGTTCTGCTTTCAAACATATTTCGTTCCCAAATTATACTTCTTTGGCTTGTGCATATTCATGATTAATTATTCCGCAATATTTAAATCGGCATCGAAATGCCTGGCCACATTTTCCCCCTCGTCCGATAGTGACAACATGAGCGATGTCATTCTGTTTATCCTTGGCCGCCTCTTAGCCGAATAGCCGCCGAAGTCGCCGTTGACATTGTCGTTTCCCCGTCCCGCCCTTCGCGTGGCGGCGTCACAGAGACGCGATCGCCGCCTCAAGCCCCGCGTGCACGCCCGCCCGTCTGCTCGCTCGCTCGCCCGCCCGCGGCCTATTTCAGTCGGCGTGACAAGCCGCATCTGCCTGCACGGCCGGCACCACAGCCGCCGCGCCCGGCCCGCCAACACCAACATGGCGGCCGGAAGCCGCGGCTAATTTTAATGCTGGCCGCCGCGCCACCTGCTGGGCTCGATCCCCGGTCCCGTGCTGAAGTCTCGATGTCGGCAAGTGGGTGGTGATATTTGTTTGTGATGTTTGTCTGGACTTTTGCCTACTTCGCAGAGAGAAAAGGCAACGGTGTCCCCCAGATAGTTCGTCGTGTTTCGTGTATGTGCATCACGTTGAGGCCCGCTCGGCTGCGCCCGAAGTCCGCTCGGCTGCGCCCGAAGT